ACCCTATGCGGGTGCCCAGGGGCCGAGTACATCCCATGGCCCTAACACCATTTTAGGTATGAAAGTGAGATAATGTGGCAAGCACTTGGCATGATATACCACAGGCATTCAGTGGCTGGGTTATGGTGATGGTAGGGCACCGCCATGGCGGACTCACAGGCCACGCTGGGACCACAAGATACTCGTCAGTTCAAGGACAAAAGAGAGCGCCAGCCCACCAGCCTCACCACAACCACAACCACGCCGCACTAACGCAGCCTATGATTGTCCCAGTATCCACCAGCAACGTAAAGTGGGATTGCAGCAAAAATCCCAATATTGTTCCTCAAGCCTCACCACTTTGGATGATACACAAAGTGGAATTCTAACCTACCTTGACCCCTTGGAACCACTGGCCAATGAACTGATTCTTTGAATTATCCTTGAACCACCATTTGATGAAATTATTGTCAGGGAAAGTAATAAGCATTTTAGTACACCATAGGCAAAATACGATCTTATTCACCACAGTCAAGACTACACAGGTGTAAAGAGACGACTGTTGCAAGAAATGTATTTGCTTTTTGTAACAATAATGCATATGCCTCATGTCTATAAGCATAATATAAAAGCATACAGGTCCACAGATTGCTAAAATTCTACCCCGTCTTCAGTGAAATCATACCACGAATCAGTTTATCTACTCTTACGTATGTTGCAGCTTCTCTGACAAAACCAGGCCTGACAGAAGTGATAGGTTAATACAAGATTAGAAATGTTTTCATGTATCTCAAACAAAAGTTCGATATACTTTTATCCATTCAAGAATCTTGTGAATTGACCGAGTCTTTGATTTTGTTTCAAAGTAACTGTCATTCAAGCATTATATACCGAAGCAAGAGGATACGCTTTGGTAAAAAACTGATTGTATACTCTGTGAATGTGACAGTGGTCCTGGTGTTGGATATTGTTGTATACACAGAAAGTTAAACATTGAAAGATACCAAGATGTTATTGGGTATCTCAGGTGACGAGTGAGAAACTGATGCACCTAATATTGGTAAGGGGCATACATTATATACCGATCACTGGTACATCAAGCCCATTACGCAGTGAATTCAACGAGTGAAACAAGACAGATGGTTGTGGCACAGTGCGTTCTAATCGTAAACCTATGCCCACTCAACGCAGGTGCTCGTGGGATGACGTGCATGTTTTAATGCCAATGACATCATGGCATAGGTGGCAGACAAACAGATGTCACATTGTTGAACCAACCATTCACTGTAATGAAATGCAAGACAGTGGCAAAGTTTGATCGAGTGACTAAAGAACATATTCGAAAACCATGTCAGTGATTGATTATACACAAAATCAAATCGCTGGTTGACAAGTGACATGCAGATGTTTTGTGACTATGTTCGTAAAGTTACAAGTGGTACATGAAACTTTTCTTCCTTCTCATGGACATTTCAATGCTCAATGCATATAATATGTAACCGAAATAAAGACTGCAACAGACCACCTTTGGTGAATTTTGTTTGTCTTGTCAGACAAACCTTAATGAAGTTACCAGGTAACAACACCTGCTTTACACACAGGTCCTCGAATTCCTCAGGATAACCCAGCGTTTGAGGAGAGAAGGTGCTCATTTCATAATACAGCTTCCTTCAACTCAGAAGAATATGCTCAGAAGAGATGCATTGTGTGGTGCACAAACAAAACGACGGCAAACAAAGACGCAAAGACACCGTTTATGTGTGAGGAATTGTAAGTGCCTCTTTGCATAGTGCCTTTGTTTCAAGGAGTTCCACAAGCTCCACAGTTCTAAACCATGTCCAGTGATTGTAACTATGTAAATATATGATAGAACATAGTATCATACCAATATTGTGCATGTTTATTGTAATATACAACAGTGGTTAGAACAATAATATGATAATAATTTAGTGCGGTTATTGTGTTCAATACAGTAGTTTATATATAATAACATCTATATATCATATTGGTCTCCAGTGCCCCAAATGTTAGTAGAGCATAGAAAAAAAATTGGAAAAGAAAAAGAAAAAACAACTAAAACCACAAAAAATGTGAATGCGCTATGTGGAATTCGTCGATGTGGCCACCACCACAACATTTTTGACAAACTTCTTTGCACTGTATCTCGTAAGTACTGATCAGATTTTTTTTTTGTCTATTACCTTCACAAAGAATAAGCTCTTTAATTCTGTAAGAAAAAATATTTTTTTTTTTTTTTTCAAAATTTCTTGGCCACTGGAGCACCACTTCAGATTTAGGCCTGGACCCTAAAGGGTTAAGAAGCATAGTGGCATACATAGTGTTGAAAGGCATGGTGAGGCTGCCATTTCGGACCCCAAAGCAGCAGAAAAATATGTGCAGGAATTCAAGGAGTAACATAGAAAGTGAAGGACTAAAACTGAACAAGTGTTTTAATTGTGACGAAACAGGCCTGTTTTGGAGAGAAAATGCCAAACAGACCTACATTACTGATGAGGAAAAGGCACATCCCAGGACATAAGCCTATGAAAGGACAGGCTACCTCCTGTTATGTGTTCTCAATGCTACTGTGAATACAAAGTGACGCTTTATTATGTAATCACTCAGAAACTCCCATAGCGTTCAGACAAAAGAATATCCTCAAGGTTAATTTGTGTGTTGCTGTGGATGGCAAACAGTAAAGGCATGGGGTCACAGGGACTTTTATCTATGAACTTGTTTACACCATGCATTTGCTCCCAATGTGAAAGATTACCGAACTGAATAAGAAATTAGACCTTAAGTGCATCCTGGTGTTAGACAATGCCCCCGTGGTCATCCTACAGACGTGCCATAGCGACTTTATGGAGACATGAAGTTCATTAAGGTGAAGTTTTTTGCCTCCAAATGCACTCCCTCTCCTACAGCCCATGGTCCAGCAGTTATTGCAAACTTCAAAAACTGTACACAAAAAAAGGCCCCTCTGTTTGAAAGGTGGCTTTGGTAAGTGACCTCAGAAAACTCAACTGACTCTAAGAGAGTTTTTGGAGAAATCAACTTTAATATCCCAATTGTGTAAACCATGTAGGTAAGGCTTGGAGGGAGTGACTAAGAGGACCTTGAACTCTGCTTGGAAGAAACTGTGGCCAGAAGTGTAGACAAAAGGGATTTTGAAGGATTTGAGGCTACCCTGAGAGGAGTATGCCAGTTGAGAAATCAATTGTGGCATTGGGAAGTCCTTGGGTTGGAGGTTAGTGGGGATGATGTGGAAGAGTTTGGTGGAGGATGACAATGAAAACTAACTGCACTGATGAGCTGATAGATCACTTCAACAACAAGAGGCCAACCTGAGGAAACTATACGGAAGGAGGGTAGAGAGAAATGAAGAAGTTCTACTAAAAAAGTATAAGGAAATCATGGAGCAATGTGGCGAAAGTGCAAACCTTTGTGGAATGAAAATCACCCTCACACAGCTATTGCAAGCCGTTCTGGTGAGACTATTAACACATACAATTGTTGTGAAACACTTTTAGGAAGTCATAAAGGAACGAGAGGTACAGGCCACTATGGACAGATATGTTGTGCGACAGAATCCAGAGACCTGAAGCTGTCCTAGTGGCATTAAAGAAGGAAGTAACCCCAGAAAAGGACTTGACATACCTCAAGTCTTAAAGGAAGGTGATTCCCTTCTAACTTAAGACTCTCTCCTCCTCCCCATACCCATCAATCATCAACCAATCTTCCAATAAAGTAATGTGTCAATGTACTTGTGCATGGCTTTTTCAGTTTGTGTGTATTAAATTAATATTTCAATGTGTAAAAAAAATATTTTTTTTTCATACAATTTGGGGTGTCTTTGGCACAGATTAATTTGTTTTCCATAAATTCTTATGGTAAAATTCATCGCATAACAAAAATTCGCATAACAATAGAGCTCTCATGCACGATTAATATCGTTATGCGGTGGTCCCACTGTACAGGATTTCAGAAAAGAAAAGTTTTTTAGTCAGTTGCACACCATTCTGAGATGCAATCTGGGCCAGTGGACACCACCTGCAACAATCTTCCTGGTTGGCCGTCCATCACCAGTGAGACTGGCCCAAAGTCGCATTCCGGGAGTAGAAAAACTTGAAACTCATCCAAGGAAAATAATGTAAGCAGACATAATATGCAAGGAGATGAGAGATAATGATGAAGTTGGGGTCAAGTAGGTTAGTTGGAAGTTAAAAAGTAGGCCCAAGAGCTAGAGCCCCCATCATCTTAAACAAAGCTAGATAATTAAAAATACAATTTGTAATTCCCACTCTTTCCCATTATGCTCCTCGTCACATTGACTCCATGATGAGGGTGGCAAGGGAAGAGGAAAAGACAGAGATAGGGATGGAGTGAACAGTAGAGGCAGGGAAATAAAAGGGGCTTAAGTGGAAGAAATGGAGATTGAGTTAACTATTTTTCAAGAATTTTCTAACAGTTGCTTCTTTTGAGGTATGCTATAGGGAACAAAGGTTATTGGGAGCTACAAGTGCCTTTTCATGGTTTCAACATATTTAAATTTAAACTTTAAGATTTAATTTTCGTCGCAGCGGGAGTTCCAGCAGAAAATAAAATCATTAAAGACATTTTGCTACCTTCTTACATTTAGTTTTTATTCCTAACTGTTGATTTAAGTATTTACTACCCAGACAACAAGACTAAATCAGTGAAGAACTTTATCTTTCAATGCTATGCTCTTGTAAGATTCTAAAATCTTGATTAATCAGCATCTAACTTTCAGTAGCAATGTATATTATGAGGAAATATGGTATACAAATGGAATTATATACCAACAAGTTAATAAAACACATTGTGCAGTTTATGTCATTTTATGTCATAAACTGCATTTTATATGTATTAATATAAGGAAGTATTGTGCTCAACAGAATATTTTGTTACGACAGAACATAGAATCCAACCAGCGTCGACGTGATCTCTACCAAGCGATGACGGTGAATATGGGAAAAAAGTTAAATTTTTCCTTAACTCTTTGGAGGAAATTTTAAGCAGTATGAAGCAAAAATGAGCCAGCAAGATTCTCAAACAGCACAGCAGCACTGCCGAGTTGTGCAGGTGCTGTATATTTTTGTGTATTAATATAGTGTATTAATATATTTGGAAATTGTTGAAAAGTTGGTTCATGAGTATTTCAAACCCTCTTCCTCACGTAAAGGTAAATTATTGCATGTTCTGTATAAAGGTTGAAGAGGGTTGGAATAGTTTTAAAAATGCAGTATTAGAATGTGGGGCAGAAGTTTGTGGCTATAGGAGGGTGGGTGAAGGAGGAAAGACGAGTGATTGGTGGAATCATGAAATAAAGGGTGTGATAAAAGAGAAGAAGATAGCTTATATAGGTTTTTACAAAGCAGAAGTGTTATAAGAAGAGTAGAGAATATGGAGAGTAAAAGAAAGGTGAAGAAAGTGGTGAGAGAGTGCAAAAGGAGAGCAGATGATAGAGTGGGAGAGGCACTGTCAAGAAATTTTGATGAAAAAAGAAAAAAATTTGGAGTGAGAAAACAAGTTAAGAAAGCCAAGGGAACAATTGGATTTGTTAGTTTAAAAACAGAGTAGGGGAGTTAATAGACCAGGAGCTGGAGGTATTGGTAGATGGCGGGAATATTTGAAGAACTTTTAAATGTCGACGAAGAAAGGGAGGCGGTAATTTCATCCACTGGCCAGGGAGGTATAACATCTTTTAGGAGTGAAGAAGAGCAGGAGGTGAGTGTGGGGATGGTGCATTAGGCATTATGTAGAATGAAAGGTGGTAAGCATCTGCAACTGACGGGATCATGACAAAAATGTTAAAGCAGGGGAAGATATAGTGTTGGAATGGTTGGTATTTTTGTTTAATAAATATATGAAAGAGGGGAAGGTACCTAGGGATTGGCAGAGAGCATGTATAGTTTCTTCATATAAAGGGAAGGGGGACAAGAGAGATTGTAAAAATTATAGGGGAATAAGTTTACTGAGTATACCAGGAAAAGTGTACAGTAGGGTTATTATTGAGAGAATTAAAGAGGTAAGACAGATGTAGATGAGCATGGAGGCTTTAGAGTGGGTAGGGGATGTGTAGATCAAGTGTTGAAGCATATATGTGAACAGTATTTTGATAAGGGTAGGGAAGTTTTCATTGCATTTATGGATTTAGAAAAGGCATATGATAGAGTGGATAAGGGAGCAATGTGGCAGATGTTGCAGGTATATAGAATAGGTAGTAAGTTAATAAATGTTGTAAAGAGTTCTTATGAGGATAGTGAGGCTCAGGTTAGGGTGTGTAGGAGAGAGGGAGATTACTTCCCAGTAAAATTAGGTCTTAGACAGGGATGTGTAATGTCACCATGGTTATTTAATATATTTATAGATTGGGTTGCAAAAGAAGTAAATGCTAGGGTGTTGGGGAGAAGAGTGGGATTAAATTATGGGGAATCAAATACAAAATGGGAGTTGACACAGTTACTTTTTGCTGATGATACTGGGTCTTATGGGAGATTCCTAAGAAAAGTTCCCAAAGGTTAGGGGGACGAGTAGGGAGGGTGTGTAAGGTAAAAGTTGAAGTGAACAAATAAGAGTAAGGTCATGAGGGTGTCAAATGATTTAGATAAAGAAAAATTTGGGATATCACATTGGGGAGAGGGAGTATGGAAGAAGTGAATGTTCTCATATACTATTGGGAATGGGCTTATCAGCGGATGGGTTTTATGAAGGATGAGGTTAACCATAATAATTGATGAAAGAAAAAAAGGTAAGTGGTGCATTGAGGTATATGTGGAGACAAAAAACGTTGTCAGTGGAGGCAAAGAAGGGAAAGTATGAAAGTAAAAGTGGTACTAACACTCTATATGGGTATGAAGCTTGGGTTGTAAATGCTGCAGAGAGGATGTGGCTGGAGACAGTGGAGATGTCATGTCGAAGGGCAATGTGTGGTGTAAATATTATGCAAGAATTTGGAGTGTGGAAAATTTAAAAGAGGGGGTGTGGAGTTACTAAAAGAATTTGTTAGAGGGCTGAAGAGGGGGTTTTTGAGGTGGTTTGGTCATTTACAGAGAATGGTTCAAAGTAAAATGACTTGGAGAGAGTATAAATCTGTAGGGGAAGGAAAGGGGTAGGGGTCGGTCCTCGAAAAGGCTGGAGGGAGCGGGGAAAAGAAGGTTTTTTGGGCAAAGGCTTGGACTTCCAGCAAGCGGTTAGGAGTGAATGGAGATGAATGGTTTTTGGGGCCTAACAAGCTGTTGGAGTGTGAGCAGGGTAATATTTAGTGAAGGGATTTAGGGAAACCGGGTTTGGGCCCGACTTGAGTCCTGGAAATGGGAAGTAAAAATGCCTGCACTTTACAGGAGGGGTTTGGGATATTTACAGTTTAGAGGGACTTCTAAACTGTCGTATCTGAGTGCCTCTGCAAGGACAGTGATTATGTATGAGGTGAAAGTGTTGAATGATGATGAAAGTATTTTCTTTTTGGGATTTTCTTTCTTTTTGTGTCACCCTGCCTTGGTGGGAGACGACCGACTTCTTGAAAAAAAAATAGCATTGCCAAAATAGCTAAGAAGTGCTGGATCAAAAACTTTTAGTGACTGGTTTTGAAGGTGGAGAGCTTGCTTCTGATTTTTAATATTTGAAAGCCCATTCAATTTTTTGACTGCATAAATCTGCTTAGTCAGCTTTGAGAAGCAGAGAATTCTGCTATGGTTTGGATGCCTTAAGTTTTTAATACCTTGTGACACAGCATACAACTTCTCTGAGGGGGTTGCCCCACTTCCCTTGAGAGAAGGTGTTCTTTCAAGGGAAGTGAGGGGCTCTTGATCAAACAAATTCATTCTACCCTTTTCCTTGTATGAAAATTGATTGCCTCCCATTCCCAGCTGTATGACCCCTACTGGTTTAGTGTTCTGCCATTGAATGTAGGAATAATAATAATAATAACAACAGTTTAGGAAAAAACTTCAAAGTTGAGGTACAGCCATGAATAGAGATTTCTTTTACATTTTTGAAATTTACTGATCTGACTTTTGCAATCATTCCCTTTGTGTTTTCTAGACATACAAAAGACTTAACATAATGGCTGAAATCCCATGTTTTTGAGTTGTCATTGTGACATATTGAGATCACTTATATACCCAGTGTAGTTGTGAACACATCACACACAGGGCAGTGCTCATTTCCTGGGGTTACAAGTTCATCAAATGGTGCAGAATGGTTGTGGGTGAAGTGCCTATGTTTGTTTCATTATCATGGGAAGTTAAGAGATTTTGCATACAGGTTTTAGAACTAAATTTTTTTATAGCACTGACTATGAGTCTAGTTGTATTGATTGGTTTACAGAGTCTGTTTGCATGTATGTTACCATCTCTTGCATTTCCTCACCAATCTCTTCACAGGTGAGATAAACTCTTTTGATAATTTTGGTGTAATAACTAATATTTTTTTTTTTTTTTTTTTTTTTTTTTTTGGGTAAGAGTGTGTTGTTTAACACATCAACTCCATCAGTGTCATAATCATTTAGCAGGCATGTTATGCATCTTTCCACTTCCATCCTGAAACTTGAAATTTTCCTTGGATGCGATTCACAACAGTTGATTGACACCCAGGTGCCTATTTACAGCTAAGTGAATGGGGTAACAGAATGTAATATGGCTTGCCCATATATATATATTGGGAGACATATGAATATGTCTCCTTACACTTGCTGCACCTATTCACTTAGCAGTAAACACATGGTAGTGGCACAATGGTACTTAATTCCCTTTTGGGCAAGTTCTTTGATGGCAGTGAGGGACTCTAGAAAAGCTTTCCCCTTCCTTAGATCGAGCCTGAATGGCTCCCATTCTCTCAGGCACTGTATGACTCCTACAGGTTTAGTACTTACACATTAATGTAATAATAATGATAACAGTTAATAATAATAATTAATAATAATAATATAGTAGTACCAACACTTATATGGGTGTGAAGCTTGGGTTGTGAATGCAGCAGTGAGGAGGCAGTTGGAGGCAGTGGAGATGTCCTGTCTAAGGGCAATGTGTGGTGTAAATATTATGCAGAAAATTCGGAGTGTGGAAATTAGGAGAAGGTGTGGAGTTAATAAAAGTATTAGTCAGAGGGCTGAAGAGGGGTTGTTGAGGTGGTTTGGTCATTTAGAGAGAATGGATCAAAGTAGAATGACATGGAGAGCGTATAAATCTGTAGGGGAAGGAAGGCAGGGTAGGGGGCATCCTCGAAAAGGTTGGAAGGAAGGGGTAAGGGAGGTTTTGTGGGCGAGGGGCTTGGACTTCCAGCAGGCGTGCATGAGCGTGTTCGATAGGAGTGAATGGAGACGAATGGTATTTGGGACCTGACGATCTGTTGGAGTGTGAGCAGGGTAATATTTAGTGAAGGGATTCAGGGTAACTGGTTTTTTTATATAGCCGGACTTGAGTCCTGGAAATGGGAAGTACAATACCTGCACTCTAAAGGAGGGGTTCGGGATAATAGCAGTTTGGAGGGATATGTTGTGTATCTTTATACATAGAGTGGACCCCCGGTTTACTATCAGCTCCCAATGCGACCAATTATGTAAGTGTATTTATGTAAGTGCATTTGTATGTGTATGTTTGGGGGTCTGAAATGGACTAATCTAATTCACAATATTCCTTATGGGAACAAATTCGGTCAGTACTGGCACCTGAACATACTTCTGCAATGAAATAATATCGTAAACTGGGGGTCCACTGTATATGCTTCTAAACTGTTGTGTTCTGAGTACCTCTGCAAAAACAGTGATTATGTGTGAGTGAGGTGAAAGTGTTGAATGATGATGAAAGTATTTTCTTTTTGGGGATTTTCTTTCTTTTTGGGTCACCCTGCCTCGGTGGGAGACGGCTGACTTGTTAAAAAAAAAAATAATAGTAATAAATAATAATAATAACAACAGTATTTGATTTGGTAGTAGGTTGGTAGACAGCAACCACCCAGGGAAGTACTACCGTCCTGTCAGATGACTGTGAAACAGAAACCTGTAACTGTTTTGCATGATGGTAGGATTGCTGGTTTCTTTTTCTGTCTCATAAACACGCTAGATAACAGGGATATCTTGCTACTCCTACTTACACTTTGGTCACACTTCACAGACATGCACATGCATATATATACAGTGGACCCCCGCTTAACGATCACCTCCAAATGCGACCAATTATGTAAGTGTATTTATGTAAGTGCGTTTGTACGTGTATGTTTGGGGGTCTGAAATGGACTAATCTACTTCACAATATTTCTTATGGGAAAAAATTCGGTCAGTACTGGCACCTGAACATACTACTGGAATGAAAAAAGTTCGTTAACCGGGGTCCACTGTATATACATACATCTAGGTTTTTCCCCTTTTTCTAAATAGCTCTTCTTCTTCTTTATTTCTTCTATTGTCCATGGGGAAGTGGAAAAGAATCTTTCCTCCGTAAGCCATGCGTGTTGTATGAGGCGACTAAAATGCTGGGAGCAATGGGCTAGTAACCCCTTCAACTGTAGACACTTACTAAAAAAGAGAAAAAAAAAAACTTTATAAAACTGGGATGCTTGAATGTGCATGGATGTAGTGAAGATGACAAGAAACAGATGACTGCTGATGTTATGAATGAAAAGAAGTTGGATGTCCTGGCCCTAAGCGAAACAAAGCTGAAGGGGGTAGGGGAGTTTCGGTGGGGGGAAATAAGTGGGATTAAATCTGGAGTATCTGAGAGAGTTAGAGCAAAGGAAGGGGTAGCAGTAATGTTGAAGGATCAGTTATGGAAGGAGAAAAGAGAATGTGAATGTGTAAATTCAAGAATTATGTGGATTAAAGTAAAGGTTGGATGTGAAAAGTGGGTCATAATAAGCGTGTATGCACCTGGAGAAGAGAGGAATGTAGAGGAGAGAGAGAGATTTTGGGAGATGTTAAGTGAATGTATAGGAGCCTTTGAACCAAGTGAGAGAGTAATTGTGGTAGGGGATCTGAATGCTAAAGTAGGAGAAACTTTTAGAGAGGGTGTGGTAGGTAAGTTTGGGGTGCCAGGTGTAAATGATAATGGGAGCCCTTTGATTGAACTTTGTATAGAAAGGGGTTTAGTTATAGGTAATACATATTTTAAGAAAAAGAGGATAAATAAGTATACAAGATATGATGTAGGGCGAAATGACAGTAGTTTGTTGGATTATGTATGGTAGATAAAAGACTGTTGAGTAGACTTCAGGATGTACATGTTTATAGAGGGGCCACAGATATATCAAATCACTTTCTAGTTGTAGCTACACTGAGAGTAAAAGGTAGATGGGGTACAAGGAGAATAGAAGCATCAGGGAAGAGAGAGGTGAAGGTTTATAAACTAAAAGAGGAGGCAGTTAGGGTAAGATACAAACAGCTATTGGAGGATAGATGGGCTAATGAGAGCATAGGCAATGGGGTCGAAGAGGTATGGGGTAGGTTTAAAAATGTAGTGTTAGAGTGTTCAGCAGAAGTTTGTGGTTACAGGAAAGTGGGTGCGGGAGGGAAGAGGAGCGATTGGTGGAATGATGATGTAAAGAGAGCAGTAAGGGAGAAAAAGTTAGCATATGAGAAGTTTTTACAAAGTAGAAGTGATGCAAGGAGGGAAGAGTATATGGAGAAAAAGAGAGAAGTTAAGAGAGTGTTGAAGCAATGTAAAAAGAGAGCAAATGAGAGAGTGGGTGAGATGTTATCAACAAATTTTGTTGAAAACAAGAAAAAGTTTTGGAGTGAGATTAACAAGTTAAGGAAGCCTAGAGAACAAACGGATTTGTCAGTTAAAAATAGAAGAGGAGAGTTATTAAATGGAGAGTTAGAGGTATTGGGAAGATGGAGGGAATATTTTGAGGAATTGTTAAATGTTGATGAAGATAGGGAAGCTGTGATTTCGTGTATAGGGCAAGGAGGAATAACATCTTGTAGGAGTGAGGAAGAGCCAGTTGTGAGTGTGGGGGAAGTTCGTGAGACAGTAGGTAAAATGAAAGGGGGTAAGGCAGCCGGGATTGATGGGATAAAGATAGAAATGTTAAAAGCAGGTGGGGATATAGTTTTGGAGTGGTTGGTGCAATTATTTAATAAATGTATGGAAGAGGATAAGGTACCTAGGGATTGGCAGAGAGCATGCATAGTTCCTTTGTATAAAGGCAAAGGGGACAAAAGAGAGTGCAAAAATTATAGGGCGGATAAGTCTGTTGAGTATACCTGGTAAAGTGTATGGTAGAGTTATTATTGAAAGAATTAAGAGTAAGACGGAGAATAGGATAGCAGATGAACAAGGAGGCTTTAGGAAAGGTAGGGGGTGTGTGGACCAGGTGTTTACAGTGAAACATATAAGTGAACAGTATTTAGATAAGGCTAAAGAGGTCTTTGTGTCATTTATGAATTTGGAAAAGGCGTGTGACAGGGTGGATAGGGGGGCAATGTGGCAGATGTTGCAGGTGTATGGTGTAGGAGGTAGGTTACTGAAAGCAGTGAAGAGTTTTTACGAGGATAGTGAGGCTCAAGTTAGAGTATGTAGGAAAGAGGGAAATTATTTCCCAGTAAAAGTAGGCCTTGGACAAGGATGTGTGATGTCACCATGGTTGTTTAATATATTTATAGATGGGGTTGTAAGAGAAGTAAATGCGAGGGTCTTGGCAAAAGGCATGGAGTTAAAAGATAAAGAATCACACATAAAGTGGGAGTTGTCACAGTTGCTCTTTGCTGATGACACTGTGGTCTTTGGAGATTCTGAAGAGAAGTTTCAGAGATTGGTGGATGAATTTGGTAGGGTATGCAAAAGAAGAAAATTAAAAGTGAATACAGGAAAGAGTAAGGTTATGAGGATAAAAAGATTAGGTGATGAAAGATTGGATATCAGATTGGAGGGAGAGAGTATGGAAGAGGTGAATGTATTCAGATATTTGGGAGTGGACGTGTCAGCGGATGGGTCTATGAAAGATGAGGTGAATCATAGAATTGATGAGGGGAAAAGGGTGAGTGGTGCACTTAGGAGTCTGTGGAGACAAAGAACTTTGTCGTTTGAGGCAAAGAGGGGAATGTATGAGAGTATAGTTTTACCAACGCTCTTATATGGGTGTGAAGCATGGGTGATGAATGTTGCAGCGAGGAGAAGGCTGGAGGCAGTGGAGATGTCATGTCTGAGGGCAATGTGTGGTGTGAATATAATGCAGAGAATTCGTAGTTTGGAAGTTAGGAGGAGGTGCGGGATTACCAAAACTGTTGTCCAGAGGGCTGAGGAAGGGTTGTTGAGGTGGTTCGGACATGTAGAGAGAATGGAGCGAAACAGAGTGACTTCAAAAGTGTATCAGTCTGTAGTGGAAGGAAGGTGGGGTAGGGGTCGGCCTAGGAAAGGTTGGAGGGAGGGGGTAAAGGAGGTTTTGTGTGCGAGGGGCTTGGACTTCCAGCAGGCATGCGTGAGCGTGTTTGATAGGAGTGAATGGAGACAAATGGTTTTTAATACTTGACGTGCTGTTGGAGTGTGAGCAAAGTAACATTCATGAAGGGGTTCAGGGAAACCGGCAGGCCGGACTTGAGTCCTGGAGATGGGAAGTACAGTGCCTGCACTCTGAAGGAGGGGTGTTAATGTTGCAGTTTAAAAACTGTAGTGTAAAGCATCCTTCTGGCAAGACAGTGATGGAGTGAATGATGGTGAAAGTTTTTCTTTTTCGGGCCACCCTGCCTTGGTGGGAATCGGCCAGTGTGATAATAAAAATAATAAAAAAATACTTCTTTAATTGATGATTTGTGTTTTTGTTGCAGGTTGTTCTGATGACATTGACAGTATATGTTGAATGGGTGTCTTTGCATTACATATTCTCAAATGATGGCAAGCTCTTACAATCCTTATGTTTTCTACTAAGTCAAGACAGTCTCAAGATGGAAGCTGCAGAATGCCTCTTACAGGTATGTTTCTTTAACCGGATTATGATACTGTACTAGGAAATATTAGTGGTGATTTTCATATTTTCTTCTTCCGTTTTATGTTTTATTGAGGTGACTTTTTTGACTTTTATGTCTTATAAAAGTATGTTGTACTTGTGTAAAAACTTATTTGTAGCTGTAAGAGCAGAGTGATACTATTGGTATCTCATCTTCAGTTATCTGAATGATGGTGAAGTGTTTCTTGTATGGGTCACCTTACCTTGGTGGGAGATGGCCATAGTGTTAAAAAAAAGCCACATATGGAAATGGAGGAAACAGTAACAGGTCCCTTCAAGAACATTGACTTTGTGATGAAATATTGATAACATCAGTCAGAGAGAAGGATCTAGGAGTCATTGCTGAGAAAAGATTATCACTAGATTCACTAGATCATGTAAATGAAATTGTGAAAAACTTGTATACTACACTGGCTAACTTTAAAATAGCATTTAGATATATGGATAGGGTAAATGCTAAAAACAACTCTTCACAACATGTGTTGGCCCAAAATTAAAATACAGTATGTAGTGTTAGGGGGTGGCTGCACTTGAAAGCCCGTGGGACAAGCAAACAATATTCCAAAAATAGGCCGCTGTTACCTTTACGTGTAGTTGATTTGTTGAAGAAATTATTTTTTTAATCATACATATTTAAATGAACAGATTTGTGACCGCAAAGGCAAACCAATAAAGCGACGTCCATTGTTATGTTATTTGGAGAGGCCCCTATGTCAGCTGTGTTTAATGCAGCAGACCAGGCAGTGCTGGGCAACTCAGTGAGCACAATTACAGATTCCTTAAAACACTCACACAGGTAAGCTAAGTCAGTTTTTTTATTAAGCTGTCATGTGTGAAAAAAAAAGCATGTTTTATACGAGAGAACTGAACTTTAAGGATAACTATTGCTTCATTTATAAATTTTCCCTTTGGGTTTCTCCATTCTTCTAGCTCTTAATATTAATGGTCTTGATGAAGGAATGAAGTTTATGAAATTCTCTCATATCTTCTAAAGAATTTTTCCTTTTTTTTCAACATGAGTTCTTTCTTCTTTTGGTTATACTAATTGTTTAATTAAAAGAGGGTGGTATGAGTAGAAATTTTGTTTTTTTTTACTAAAAAAAGTTTGTTTTTTCTTGAAATGTCATTTATAGTGAGCATATTTTTCTTCATGAACCCATTCTGCAAGTTCTGCTTTGGTTTTGAAAATTTTTTAGCACTTTATTTACATCCCCATATTCTGTTTTCTCTTTATACACTTTAGTTTATATATTTTTTTAACACACCGGCGTCTTCCACTGAGATAGAGTGACCCAAAAAAGAAGGAAACACTTTCCATCACTCACTTCTTCACTGTTTTTTCAGAGTGCAGGCACTGTGCTTCCCACCCTTTCCCGGGCTCAAGTCCTGCCAACGTTTTCCCTCTGAATCTCTATAAATGTTTTAACCTGCTCACAATCCAAGAGCACGTTAAGTCCCTAAAAAACACTTGCCTCCACTCCTATCTAACATGCTCACACTACTGTTGCTGGATGTCTAAGCCCTTGCACACAAAAATATTTAGCTTCCAGATCTCGGGCAACGCTCCATGTTTAACGATCTGTAGATCTTCTTTTGGGTTCAACAGTGCTTCTGCCCCTCTCACCAGAATCCATGGTGATGTTCTGTCAGCTTTCACTGCCTTGGATATACAGTGGACCCTCGGTTATCGGTTTGTAATCTGTTCCAAAAGGGTTTGGGCCTAAAACCGAAATGGCCGAAAACCGAAATAACATTTCCCATGAAATTAATGTAAATACTATTAATCTGTTCCAGACACCCAAAAATATTAACAAAGAAATACATTTTTAAAGATTAATTATAGTTTTACATACACAAAGCAATGAGAACTAAATAAAATAAATAAATTAACATTTAAATCACTATACATACTTTATTGAAGACACATGTTGGGTTTTGGAAGACAGAGGGGGAAAAGAGGGAGGACTGATTATTGTTTTGAAAGGGGAATCCCCCCCTTTATAAGGACTTCAGGTATCAAAGCCCTCTCTGGGGTTATGTCCCTTCTTGTCTTTTACTGCTACTAGGACCAGCTTGAGAGTCACTGCACCCCTGTTGCAAAAAAAAAAACTGGGCCCACAAAAGCTCGTTTCTGGCATCTTTTTAAGATTTCCCCCCGAAGTGGAACAAGGTTTTTTTCACTGAACATATTGCAGATATGGCTTGTTTCAGCTTGGTCAGGGATATTTCTCCACAAAAGTTTGCACCTCCCCCCACTTTGCACACATGTCCTTAATCAAATGAAGAAGGCACATTTTTCCCTCTCCCCTTTCTCCTTTCTGTGAAACAATTTCCCAGCCTGTGGTTTGTTGCTGTTGCAAAATGAAGCTCTTGCAGCTCTTCCCGTTTGGTTTGCTCTTCCCCCGTGGTCCCCCCGCCAACTCTTCCACAAACCTCGCCACTAACCTCCAACCCCATGGACTTTCCCAAAGACACAATAGATTCCACAACAGCAAGGGGCCTTTAGGGTCAGCCCCAAACCCTTCAAAATCCTTGTTGAGGACATGCTGGCCACAATTTTCTCCAAGCATAGCTCAAAGTCCTGGAAGTCACTCCCTGCCAAGCATTGCCTATAAGGCTTATGCACTGGAGGATTTGAAGCGATTCCTCCAGAACTCTCTTAGCGTTAAGTCATTATCCGAGGTCACTTCAAAGCATCTTTGAAACACTGCTTTCGTGTAGAGTTTTTTGAAGTTAGAAATGACCTGCTGGTCCTTGGGGGTGGATGAGAGAGTGGTGTTAGGAGGCAAGAACTTCACTGTTATAAAACTGAAGCCCCTAAACAATTGGTTTTCCAAGTCTGGAAGATGAGCAGGAGCATTGTCCAGTACCAGGAGACACTTGAGTGGGAATTTATTTTCCTGGAGTATTTTTCACACTGGGGGCCAAGCACTTCATGACCCAGTCAATAAAAATGTGCCTTGTGACCCATCCCTTATTATTAACCCCTTGACTGTCGCAACCCCAAATCACGAGGTGTCTCCTGTGTCACAAAATTTTCCGAAAAAAAAAGTTATTTTTTCATATGAAATGATAGAGAATCTTTTCCCAATTGTAATGACACCAAAACAATGAAATTTTGGTGGAAAAACTGAGGGAATTACACTCTCGCAAAGTTAGTGACCTCGGCGATATTTATGAATCCACGATTTTGTCCACTTTGAGCCCTATTTTCGGCTAATTTCATTGTTCCAGTCCAACCAAACTCATAGCTATTTCTTTAGAACTCCATTTTACTATTGATTGAGTACAAGAAACTGCCCACTTACCGATTTCAACTACCCAATAACGTGGTCAGAAATTTGCAATTTGGCCAATTTCTTGAAAATCAAAAAATATGACAATTTCAAAATAGGTCCATAATGAACAATGCAGACATTCCTGGCTCTAAAATAACATTTTCTTTGTTCATCAGTCACGTCTCCAGGCCCATCTAATATTACTCTTGCTTTCTATTTTGAATTTTTATTCAAACAAAAAATAGAAGATTTATTGTTATGCAGACTACTGCAATATTGTAATACAGTGGACCCCCGGTTAACGATTTTAATTCCGTGCAAGAGGGGTAATTGTTATGCGAAATAATCGTTATGTGAATGAATTTTCCCCATAAGAAATAATGGAAATAAAATTAATCCGTGCAAGACACCCAAAAGTATGAAAAAAAATTTTTTTTTACCACATGAAATATTAATTTTAATACACACAAACTGAAAAAGGCATGCACACTTACATGACACTTACTTTTATTGAAGATCTGGTGATGATTGATGGGATGGGAGGAGGGAGAGCATTATCTTCTTACTGTTTAGAAGGGGAATCCCCTTCCATTAGGACTTGAGGTAGTAAGTCCTTTTCTGGGGTTACTTCCCTTCTTCTTTTAATGCCACTAGGGCCAGCTTCAGAGTCACTGGACTTCTTTTCGCACAAGATATCTGTCCATAGTGGCCTGTACCTCTCGTTCCTTTATCACTTCCCTAAAGTGTTTCACAACATTGTCAGTGTACAGGTTGCCAACAACGGCTTGCAATAGCTGTGTGAGGGTGATTTTCATCCATGAAGGTTTGCACTTCAAGCCACTTTGCACAGATTTCCTTTATCTTTGTAGTAGGCAACTTCTCAATTTCTCTCTCCTCTCCCCTCCTCTGAACCAGTTTTCCCCAGGTCTGGCCTCTTGCTGTTGAAGTTGATCTATCAGCTCATCAGTGGTTAGTTCTTCATTGTCCTCCTCCACCAACTCTTCCACATCCTCCCCACTAACCTCCAACCCCAAGGACTTTCCCAATGCCACAATGGATTCCTCAACTGGCACAGGATTCTCAGGTTAGCCTCAAACCCTTCAAAATCCCTTTTGTCTACACATTCTGGCCACAGTTTCTTCCAAGCAGAGTTCAAGGTCCTCTTAGTCACTTCCTCCCAAGCCTTACCTATAAGGTTTACACAATTGAGGATATTAAAGTGATCTCTCCAAAACTCTCTTAGAGTCATTGAGTTTCGAGGTCATTACAAAGCACCTTTCAAACAGAGCTTTTGTGTACAGTTTTCTGAAGTTGGAAATAACCTGCTGGTCCATGGGCTGCAGGAGAGGAGTGGTATTAGGAGGCAAAAACTTCACCTAATGAAGCTCATGCCCCCATAAAGTCGCTCTGCCACGTCTGTAGGATGACCAGGGGCATTGTCTAACACCAGGAGGCACTTAAGTTCTAATTTCTTTTCAGTTAGGTAATCTTTCACATTGGGGGCAAATGCATGGTGTAACCAGTTATAGAAAAATTCCCTAGTGACCCATGCCTTACTGTTTGCCCTCCACAGCACACACAAATTATCCTTGAGGACATTCTTTTGCCTGAACGCTCTGGGAGATTTCAGAGTGATACACTAATAAAGGCTTCACTTTGCAATCACCAGTAGCATGGCACACATGAGAAGAGTAAGCCTGTCTTTCATAGGCTTATGTCCTGGGAGTGCCTTTTTCCTCCTGAGTAATGTAGGTCCTGCTTGGCATTTTCTTCCAGAACAGGCCTGTTTCATCACAATTAAACACTTGTTCAGGTTTCAGTCCTTCAGTTTCTATGTACTCCTTGAATCCTGCA